CCACTCTTCTTTTTCTTTTTTCGGTCGAATAAATGCGGTGTGATCACAATGGACTTATTCCCCGTGAAAGCGAGTTTGCGTATTAAAACACCATTTTCGTTCGAGCGAAAGGTACATATATCCATTTGAAAACATTAATAACGCATATCTGCTTCAAACCTCTACACTACTTATTACAACAAATCAAAATCAAATAACTTGATATATATTACTTTTCAAAGTAACTGTGTAATCATTTAAAAATTACATTTATTGGGAAGTAATCAAAAGAGTAATTTCATTACTTTGGGATAAGTGCTAAAATTGGTTGTAATTGTTACTATTTTTTATTCCCCCTATTATTGGCGCCCTTTGCGTGGAACTGGCGACATATATGTTGGCAGTACGGCTCACTCTTTTCCTGCTGTTTACGCAGATGAGTGGTTCACTCTGTCGACTTCATTTCAGTGTCTTTCTTTTGCCGGTTCCAACCCAAAAACTGAATAACTCGATACGAGCTTGTTCTGAAAATTGTGCACTCGTGAGGCGGCGTTTATTCTTGATAAGCCAAGTGGTTCTCTATTTACTGCTCTTGCTACTGTATGGTGATGTAGAAGTGAATCCTGAGCCTCTCTCGGAATAACAGGTTCGAGAAATTTTAAACGGCCAGAATAGCTTGATGATAAACTTGTCTTAATTGAAAATAGCCAAAAGTCATCTGATAGTTTCCTTAACGACTTGCGCACCTGAGGAGATTCAATTGGGTCAAACTTTGGAAGACCAAAGCAGACGTGCGCGATTCTTAAGGACTTGAAAAACAAAAGGAAGGAACAACAAAATTGCTTGGACGATCTTTTCGCGAAACATGAAAATGTGGAAACCCGGAGTCGTCGATGTAGTCTCTTTTTGCATAAACTTCAGGACACTTGTTTATGGGAAACGCCTATGCCATCGGAGGCACTTTTAATGGAGATCTGTAAAAATAGGTTGGGGGAATTGGCGTTGTTGGGATTGAGCGAGCTCATAGACTGGGCTAGTTTTCTGCAGGAAAAAAAATCGTCCGATTATTTTAACTTCGGATCTTTTAAGGAAAAGGAAAACATCCTCACAAATGCTCGAAAGCGGAAGAATTCCGCGTATAGCATATCCGAAGATCTTTAGAAAGCCGTTTGGCGAAAAAAAGAAAAACATGTGGGATTATGCAAAGGCACATCGGCAAGAAGGCACAAAGCAGTCCTAAATTATGACAGCTTATTTTAAGGAGATGCACAGTATTCCTGAAATCATGCAACAAAACAGATTGTGCGGCGCTGACTGCGTGAATGCCCGCAAACCACTTACTCGATTTCCATTGTTATTGTCAACTGTAGAAGCTTGAAAATTAAAACTGACGCCTTCCAGAAGCTGCTGTCGATGACTAAGCTCCATGTAGTGATAGGAACCGAGTCTTGGTTAGACGGTTCTTCGCGTGACGGGAAGGTATACTTTCCCGACGGTTTTGAACGTTATAGACGTGACCACTGCTCCCGTGGTGGAGGCGTGTTTGTTCTAGTTGATAAAGCGTTTTTTTTTTTTCTTCCACCGAGATTCCGGCGAACATTCAAGATGCAGAAACTCTGTTTTGTCAGATTAGGCTGACTAACGGGAAATGCTTAGCCATTGTTTCTTTTTATAGGCCACCAAGTCCAACGCCTATCACAATTAAATACCCTTCCAGTATTTTAGAAAAGATTGCATGCGATACCATTATTATTGCTGGCGATTTCAATCTTCCAGCCATTGCATGGATTGATGCAAACTTCACGGGTGCCATTGGTTGTGAACTGTATGGCGAGTTTTTTCAGCTTATTGGATGTTTTTTCGCTTGAACAGTTTTGCTACTTTGCCCACTCACAATAATGATACGGGCCATATTTTCGATATTTTACTTTGTTACACTTCTGGTATTCTTGAGAGCACTCATACTGTCCCAGGGATTATGGGCCATAAAACTATTGCTATCTGAGGTCAACTTAAATTGTGTAAACAAGAGCAAATCACGTGAACAAATGGCGTACTTTTATGACCGGGCACATTCTGCAAAAATAAACACTCCGCTCGAATCTTATATTTCAGTTTTTGAAACGTTGTGCGTGTGTTTGAGCGTCAATACCTTACGGATAAAACTGAAGAAAAAAATATTTAGCTTGCGGGATGAGTTTGTCCCATCGCGTATGTTTACGCTAAAACGAGCACGCGACAAACCGTGGTTCACACGTGAGTTGCGTGTATTATTCAACAAAAAATCGAAGGGCCTATTTTAAGTTCCGTGATACACTGCTTCCCGAGTGATCTCGCTAAACTAAAAGAATTCTCAACAGTTGTTCGAGACCAATTGGAGCATGCTAAAGCTACGTTCCTTTTCTATTTAAAAAATAGCATTCGTCGTTTTCCAAAACAGTTTTGGAAATATGTCGGTAGTAACGGTGAACACAATACTTCCATTTCGACGCTCAGGCACAACGAAACTATCGTCGATAACGATACTGAAAAGATGGAGCATTTCAATTTATGCATTCGGTCGGTTTTTACATCTTGCGGGTCATGTTCGGCACACTTCAGTATTCCAGCGGCAAGCAACGTGACGCCCACAATTGATTTTAGTGTGTCCTGAATTTTAAACCAATTGAGTAACTTAGACAGAACTCAGTCGACTGTCCCAGATGATATTCCTGCGTGTATTCTGAAATCTTGTTTAGGTTCATTTTGCCTTTATTTTGTTATATTGTTTGAAAAATCGCTACACGAATCTTCTCTTCCTTCTGGTGGGAAGCTTGCTTGAGTAATGCCGGTGCATAAAAGTGGTCGTGGAAAAAGTGTCGGAAATTATCGACCGTTATCGCTGACAAGAATCTCTAGCAAGATGATGAAACTCATTTTTATAGTAACATCATGACTCACCTTAGCAGGTTTAACATTTTGCACCCCTCGCAACACGGATTTCATCGGGGCTACTCTTGTAGCACGCAACTAGTTGAAATTGTGCTTGACCTTTCTATGGCAATCTATAAGCGACGGAGTGTTGATTGTATTTTTTTTTTTATTTCATTAAAACTTTTCATGTCGTTCTCATAACCTTTAAAATTCTAAGCTCCACGCCTATGAAATTGATGACAAAGTTTGTAATTTAGTTCGTGAGTATTTTTCGATCCGAAAACAATATGGGGTTTTAAACAAACTTGGGAAGTAATCCCTTACAAGTTACGGACTACTTATAATCCATTATTTTTAAAGTGATTTTGTAATTGCCACGTTATTCTTTTTCGGAAGTAATTTGTAATGTAATTTTGTTATAAACTATTGGTAACGAATGACTTTAATTTCTCGTTACATTTTAAAAATACGAGCATAATACAGTAACTGGAGCAATGCGAGCAGAACATAAAGCAGCATAAAGAGAGCAAGTTCAACAATCAATCAATCAATCAATCTTTATTTGCACAAAATAGTAGAACACGGGAAGCGTGCGCGGCTGGCAGAAAGGTTACAAACCCGTACGCTGAGGCGCCTGCTAGCCAACTTTCCGTGAGTTCATGAGTAGACACACAACAAAACACGACACACAACAGTTTGACATTTTAGACGCGGACGAACAAATAATGCAGGAAGGACACAATATGGCCATTAGACTCGCAAATTAAGGGCGGCCCGCACACTCGCGCAGAGTGCGGGCCGCTCGGTTGCGTTGCACACCGTGCACCGCAACCGAGGTAAGAATCCAACCGGTCCACCGGACAGATCCCAACCGGAACCAGCTGGAGCCGGCCCCCGCAGGGACCTGCCCAACAAACCAGTCAGACCCCCTCTTGAAAGCGCCACACACCCGGCACAAATGTGCGAACGAGCCCCCAAGGTCCTGATCGGTCGACTCGAGGAAGTACGGAGCGCGCGCGACACGCTCCGACTGAAGTCACGGAGCTCGTCACTTGACCCAGGCAAGGGTGGGCGCACATGTGCCGGCAAAGACAAGTGTGCACCCACTGCTGAAGGGAAAAGGGAGGCCTCATGTCGGCTAGTGCGAGCAAAGACAGAGGAGGGAGGCCAGGAGGCGTGCATCACTGTGGCTAAGTATGAATCGTCTAGAGACGGGCCACAGGCGACAGCGAGGAGGCGGACTCGCGACACTGTGCAATGATGACTCAGACGGGTGCCAGCCAATCGACCGAAGACGCGCCTCATAGTTCATAGACTTATCACGACTGACCAGCATACGAGTCGCACGGCGCTGAACCCCCTCAAGCCTCTAAGTGTTTTGCACTTGGTGGGGGCTCCAGATAGAGGAGCAGTATTCTAATTGGGGAAGCACTAGGACACTGTACAGAGTCTTCAGAGTATCCTGTCCAAAATGTCGTGAAACTCTGGACACGAAGCCCAGTAAACTGCGAGCTTTACCAACGCCCCTGGCCACGTGATGACTAAACTCGAAAGTTGGTGGGAAGGAGACGCCTAGGATATTGAGCACCTGTACGGGTAGAACAGTAAACCCTCCAAGGGAATAATGTGGAGAATCAACGTTCCTGATGGAGCTAGAGCGCATTACAGCTCACTTGCCGTGGCTGAGACTGAGATGGTTATTTGTGGACCACAGCGCCGCCCTGTCCAGGTGAGCCTGCAGAATGGCGACGTCGGCAGCAGAGCGAACCCCCTTAGCCAACGTAGTATCATCAGCATACTGGACCGTAAGGACCCTATCTGATTGAGGAATATCCCGGACATACAAATTGAAAAGGGTTGGACCTAACAAAGATCCTTGAGGAACTCCCGATGAAGCTTTGAAAGTGTGAGACACCGAGCTCCGGTACGCTACCCGAAAACTGCTATCAGTAAGGAAGGCAGCAACTCAGTGCAGTAGACCGCCGCCCACCCCACAGTCAAACAGCTTCCTGATGAGACAGGCGTGATCCAGGGTGTCAAAGGCGTTGCGGAAGTCTAACTGGACAACGTTCGGAGGGAACAAGACCATCTAGGTTTTTGCTTATGTAATGGGAAACGGTGGCCAGCGCAGTTTCACAAGACCGGGAGTGCCGGAAGCCATGCTGAGTCGAAGACATGAGCTGAAGACGATTCAGGTGAGAGGGTACGTGTTTGTTGACCATGCGTTCCAGGGTACGACACAGAATTTAAGTCACAAATACTGGACGGTAGGAGGCTAGATCACTGTGTGACCTATTTTTTCTTTGAAAACAGGAGTGGCCAGTGCCTGCCGCCAGCTATCCTGGACGGAAGAACATAAGGTTGGATCATCTTAAGTAGGATGGGAGGGATGCCGTCAGGACCAGCTGAGCAAGATGGTTTGATACAGTCAAGGGCCTCCTCCAAGTTACAGGGAGTAAGAAAAATAGAAGAGAGAACATCAGGGTTGGGAGACAAATCAACCCCAATGCCATAGCCATGAAGTAAAACAGGGGCAGAGGCAGAGGAGAAAACCGAAGCAAACTGGTTGCAAAAAAGATTGGCGATCTCTCCAGGGAGGGTGACAGTCTGGCCATTTGATGTGAAAGATGAGCCATGTGGAGTGTTTGATGCTGACTGACGTAAGACCAAAATACTTTCGGTTTTTTGCGCACATGTAGAGCGATAGACTTTGCGAATGCAACCTCGGCAGCATGCAGATCAACCTTAAAAGAACGCTAAAGTGCCTTAGCCCGTGCAAGTGTCTCAGGATACTGCAGACGGGCAGCGCACTTGTAAAGAGCCCGCTTCAGACGAGCGACACGAATGTGATCTTTTGTGATCCAAAACGTTTGAGCGCGCCCCCTTCGACTAGAAACGCAGGGCATACACTCCTACTGAATTGAATGTGCCAAATCACACCAGAGGTCCATTTTAGCTAAACAGTCGCCGCCCATGGTAATCATGCACCATGGGTCAAGGTGAGCAAGTTTGGCCATGTGATCAAGATCTGTCCGGTGGAACTTTCATATGGCACGCAAAGTGACCTCTGCGTGGTAGAACCAGAGCATAAGTGAACTCAATGGTCAAGTGGTCACCGGAGAGACCCGAGTAGACATCGCACGAAAGACTTTGGAATGGGTGTGACAGAAACCAAGGTCGAGACAACTGGATTTTGGGATGTAAGGGAGCGGCATATCTGGGAAAGCCCCGATATTGACACGAGGCCCAGTACAACATCGTCGGCTGCGTCGGAAGGAATTGGAGCATCATAGCTCCACCAGTCGATGTGGCCATTAAAGTCTCTAAACAGAAACACCTCCCGATAGGACTTTGTAAGCGCCTCCGTCATGGACGCATCGAGGAGCTCGTCACCTGGGTGGACGGCGGACAGTAGGCACAGACGAGGAGGGAGTTACCCTTCGGGTGGTGAAGTTCTAGAAAAATCGCTTCTAACTCCGGGTGCTCGAGGTCATCCCGTCTGGCGGCCGGAAGTCCGGACGGCACGGCGATGAGCATACCACTGCCATGAGATGAACGATCACGCCGATGAACTGAGACGAGGGCCACGCCGAAGAGCTCGGCAGCACGAACACTATCGTCCAACCACGTCTCCGTGACTAGGAAGACGGTATTCTCGGGGAGAACCGATGGCACGAGCCTGAGGTCAGCCAGTTTATTATTCGCACTACAGCAATTGGTGTACCAGAACGTAGCTGACCTGCTGAAGCGGTTACTCGCAATGGAGTTACGAGTGCCGGTGGTTCGATGCCGAATGTCCCAGACCGGGGTGGGGAGTGAGGTCACTCTTAGCTTCAAGCGACGAAAACAGCGATTCTTCGAACTGCGGCAACTGACATACGCCTCAAAACCAGGGTTCGGTTGAAGAGGACAGGTGCCGATATAACCCGGGCGATAGGAGCTCGCACTTGAGATGGTGCCATCTGTCGCACAGGTCACATTGTAATGCCGCCACGGTATCGTAGACACTCCTTGAGCAGCGGGGACAGGTGGGGCGGGGGACCGGATTTCGTGCAACGTCCCCAGCAAGCAGCAAGAGCCAAACAGCATGTAACCGCCTTGTAAACCTAGCCAGACCGGTGTCGGTGGGAGGCAGAAGAACTTGGGAGTACGAGACGGGCGCCCAGGGCAGTCTGGTATGCAGTTGTCGGGTGCCTGGAGTTTGTAATGGGCGCCGTTGAGAAAGAATGAATGCTGGAGCCGGACGAAAGGCGATGTACGTGAAAATCAGCCGGAGCACGAACAACGGACGCCTGACACGCTCCGCCAAACATCAGGAAGGGGAGAATAGCCGAAAATAAAACACAATTTTCTTGTATGACCGGTCACTAGTAGAACCACTGGAAAAAGGACAAGGCATGTACAAATATACAAAAGACACAGATCAAGTAGACAACGCCGAGTAGGACCTCCGTCGCCTTCCATCGTGTTTTTCTTCTCCCAGCAAGATAAAGCTCTTCGTATCTATTTGTTTTTGTCTTTTACACCGTTTCACCCTTTTCAACTTCTCCGGCGTCTGCCGCCTCCTGCACAGACATCAAACTCGAGTCCGTACCCTCTCGATTCGCGGGTTCACAACTTGCGTAATAGACGATGTAGCCTCGCGCGAGGGGGTCGAATTCTTTTTGGCTTTGATGTGCGATACTTTATTCTAGCACGGCTGAAAAGCGCCCGGCGCGAGGCTAAGAGCATCGTCTTCGAGGGTACGAACAGTAATTCTTTTGGTTTACTGGTCTGGACATGATGGTCAAGTCGACTCCTCCCTTTGCAGTCAACTTTCAACATAAAGGGGAAGGGGGGGGGGGGTTGTTAGGCCATATAAGGAGTGCTGACAGAGAGAGAGAGAACGCGTGAAAGTGGTGTTATCTTCTATTGTTTTGTGAGACCGCTGGCCACCGCTTCTCTCGCTCTCTAGGCCCTCCCCTCCCGTGGCCTCCACGAATATATCAAAGTGAGAACCGATGAACGATCGAGAACCCGAAACCGCCACTTTTTCTTTGTCTGGTCGAGGTTTCGGTCATGAAGTGTCCGTCGTCTCCACGGCCATGTCTAAATGAGATGTTCAAAATTCAGAGCATTAAGGAGAACGAAAACCTAGAGTTTCAGTGCATACTTTCTTGCCCCCCCCCCCCCCCAAAAAAAAAAAAAGAAAGAACGTTGTCATCAGCAAGAGCAACAAACTCTAATCTACGGAAACGCATCGAGGTCAGCTGGGACGCCTGCATTCTGCATTGGCTATATTTGAAACGTTAGAACCAAGTTTTTCTTTTCTTGCGATTAACAGGCGAAACACCCGAGTCAGAAGGGAGTTTTCGTAGATCGCTTCATCATCTGCGAATCGCGTAGCGGAGGTATGCGCTTTGTTTGTACAATTCCAGGGATAATTTCCGGAGGCCGTAAGCCAGCGGGATGGCAGGGGTGGTTGCAACTTTCGATGTCTTGTCGGGTTACAGGTGGACCCCCCACACCTCTCTCTCTCTTAAATACAATATTGTATTTTTACAAGGACTACAATATGCGGGCATATGAGAGATGAAAAGTAGCGTTGGCGAGAATGTTTTGAAAAATAACAAAATTGTTTTCATTGTTTTCTGGATAAGTGTACGGAAAAAGTAACGTGAAAGAAATTTTCAACTAACGAGTAAAGTAATCCGTTACTTTTCGGCGAAAGTAATTTGAAATGGGGATCCATTATATTTGAGGCTCGGTAATTTGTAATTGTAATCCATTACATTTTTCGAGTAACGGCCACAAGTCTGGTCTTAAATGGCTTCCAATCTCAAATGGTTGAGGTTACTTCAGGTGTGCCGCAAGCCTCCGTTTTGGGATCACATTTGTTTTTTATTTATAAAAATGATATTACTGTTGATGTTTGTTCTATCATTATAATGTTTGCAGATGATTGTAGAGGTCAATACCGCGCATGATAGCCTGATTTTGCAAAAAGACTCGGACAACCCTCAATTATGGTGTCAGTCATGGCAAATGACTCTGAACATAAAAGAACTATACACGTCACCTTTACAAGGAAGGTATTACCGCCAGCATATAGTTATTCACTAAATGAAAGAGTCCTAGAAACTGTTAAGAAATTTATATATCTGGGTGCGTAATTCACTTCCGATCTGCGGCGGAATGCATATGTTCACTAGGTTTCCCCGAAGGCCTCACGTATGCCTGGCTTTTCGTGCCAAATTTTTAAGCTTGCACCTCAGTCGCTCAAGGAAACAATTTATTTTTCACATGTTCGTTCTATCCTTAAATATGCGTGTGTTGTCTGAGACCCTTCTACCGCATTTTTTATTAAAAAGCTTGAAACATTTTTAAAACTTGGCTGCAGGTTCGTTTAAAAAAGTTATGATTGGTGACTCATTATTGGTGACCGTAAAAAGCTCCTCTGTCTCAAATTCTTTCACGATATTGATCACGGAAATAATTGGTGTGGAAAAGGATAAATCTATGATACATATCTCGCAGAAATAACCATGCCTTAAAAATCTTTTAGGTTGACGTGTTGCGACACTTTTTTTTTTGTAGAGACCAAGCACAATTGTAATTCCCTTCCATCATGCACGGTCACTACACCTTCCAATTACGCCTTTTTTCACGCGCTGAGTATGTAACCCTTTTTGATCATATGCTTTTTGTTTGTATTCCCCCCTATTGTAATGTTACATGGCGAAGTAGGTACCTGAATAAAGATGATGATGAACAAAGTTTCCTTCCAAAGAATCCTCGAGCAATGTCTCGGACCGACAGGAAGATGGTTTACTCAAACTGGTAGATTAAGAGAATAGGTAGTATAGAGAATGAAGAGGACGACTACTGATCCGGACATTATACCCTGGCTCGAACTGCCTCCCGTGCTCCAGCTGCTCGAGCGCCCTCCAAAGTCATTTTACAGTGGAGCTGTCAGGGGCTACTTTCCCCAGGATCGTGTCCCCCCACAAAGAAATGAAGACACCGAACTCTGGACACTTACCGCCATCTATGAGCGACGGCGGCAAGCCATCTATCTGGTTGATACCGTTGCTCATAGATGGCGGCAGCTTTTCCACTTTGGCTTGCCGACTTGTGGCCGGCCATTACTTGCCATTGTACCACTCCGCTGGTCTTTGTTCTTCACCAGAGTGGAAAGGCTGAAAGTTGTTTTGTT